TATTCCTATGTTCCACAGATTTTTTGGGATAAATCACAGAAGCCTAAAAAAAAACTAATGGACAGGGCTCCATTTTTGGAACAAAGTTTTTTAGAGATCACCACATGGGAAGAAATCTCTGGAGACAATTGAAAAGCGTCCTCAGGATAACTACTGATTGCTTTGAGAGCGGCATCTGGGACAGCTATGACTTCTCAACAACGGAAAAACCACAATGATCCCAGTACAGAATCAGATCAAAGAAAACTTACGGTGAGCTGTCTTCCTCTCCAGACAGACTCCAGTCATCATCATAAGAACCCTGCTGAAAGGAAAACCAAAACAGAACCTTCGGTCTTATCCTTGTTCTGGCGTCAGCATCAGAGGACGCCACCCTCACAGAAATATCCTCCAGGAAAAACGTGCATTACCATATCCGGATAGGGCTCCGTGACTTTTCTTAGCTGGGGTCCAAACTTTACTTGATCAACTGCAAAGAAAATGATAGGAAAAGAAATGGTGCGTTAATGCATGAACTGTGGATTTCATCAGGTTAAGAAAATAAAGTGCAGGGCAATGTGTTCCCACACATTCCAGCCTTTTTTGTGTTCGCAACATCGATTCGCACTCAACTCTCAAGTGCATTGATGAGCTGCAGTTGGAGCTATGGATCCACACATCGATAAAGAGCTGTCACTGCGAAACACTGCAGCCGTGACCCCACACCGCAGCAGCTGAGCACATACACAGTGACAAAGCACATTACTCCTTTTTACCTCCACCAGGAAGGTCATATGTTTTCACCCCTATCTGTCTGTTTGTTTGTTTGCAAACAGGATTACACACAAAATGGACAGATTCTAACAAAACTTGGTGGAACAAGTTGTTATGAGTCAGGGAAAAACATTCCATATTGGCGTGGATCCACATCATTCTTTTTCTTTCTTTAATATTGTGAGGATGGTTTTTTTTTTTTTACATTTTCATTGATTTCTCAAAGTATAACCCATGAATATTGATGAAAAAGGGGCTGATGTCTATGAGTGTGAGCAGTTTAGTGCAGATCTAAGTAAAAATCTGGATCTAGTGAATTTAAATGTGGTTTAATAAGGAGACCGTTGTCTCTACTGAGTGTCATTCTAGTTTCACTTGGTCTGGTGTAGTCAGTTACTTTACTTTACTGAATCAGGTCTCAAGAATATTTACTCGGGCTACTTTTCTGTAATCTTCACTTGTGGCTATACATGAGAATAATTCACAGATTAAGTGTGGTTTATGAGACTATTATGACTATTATGTCATGAAAGTCCAAATGTTAGTTACAACATTAGGAATGAAAAATACAAGAGAGGTATTAATGAACAACCAAAATGTCTTTTTGTTTTATTTAGCTTGCTTCTCTCCACTCACACAAATGACATGCTCTGGATCTTTTACCACCTCAGCAGAAGTCAGTCGTTTCACTAAAGCATTAAAAATCAACTTGCGGAGACTTGAAAGCTGCTCGCCACAGAAATTCCATCACAGTGAACATACTGTGCCCTTTTTTGGTCAAAGATCTATTGTTGTTGTTGGACGGCAAATTTGCAGATGAAGCCTGAATCAAAATTCAGCTGTTCTGTAGCTGATACCATCAACTTCCCCAACCTTTCCAATCGATATCATTTGCATGAGGATGTTATGTATTTCAATCTATTTTCCTTGGTGCTCTCTGTCCTTCACTTCCCTCATTTTTAATGTTTATATTCCACTATCTTGGCTTCCCTTTACATTTGAGAACCACTTATACTCCTGCTAGACTGCTAGGTCACATATGTGCTCTGACATGACTTCCTTAAACTAGAACAGAACTTATACTATTGTAAATATCATATGATTCATTTGTTCTTGGTCTCAGTATGTTTTAGTAGTAGGGGTGGGTTATAATTTGACAGTTTTTTGGCTTGAGTCTGCAATGAAGTTTAGTAGAACAGGCGTTCAAAGATCACAAATCCGACCACACATTTGACGTGTCCAAAAAAAGTATTGAGGTTTGATATTTGATATTTTTATATATTTGTATCAGCCTCGTAGCAAGCAACTGTCCAAACAATGACTGACTGCTCTAGTAGAAGCAGAGGAAGTGTGAGACATATTGGTCAAAGTGAAAGTGCAGGTGTTAAACGTGTTTGTGGCTTGTGTGCCTGAACATGAATAAACACACTGTGTGAAAGGGAAGTATAGGTCGACACTAAGTTGTATTTTGATATGGAACTATACCAATTGTGAAACCAGACTATCACGTGCGAAACACTTGGGCCACAAGAAGCCTATTGGTAGTTCAGCAGTGTGAAGTCACTCTCGCTCCAGTGTGTGTGTGACAGAGGTGCCACTGTCTGTCACACACCAGTGGCATGTTCGCTGTGCCATCGTCTGACGCAACCTCCATCCCACATGTGTGGACGGGATACAGAAGGAAGGGCAGCCACCAGCAGGCTGACTGAGAGGCTTTTGTCCTCGTTCATATTATGGAGATTACAGCTCTGAATACCGGGGGTCGTGCCGGACAATGAGGCGACTCATCAGCAAGTACAACCGGCATACAGTATATCTCCATATGCACGCATACAGTCACAAGCCCAGCCACACGCAGTGACTGTTACTGTACAACGTTTAACACAAAACACACAAACAATACACAAGTAAACGTGTGGGTTAAAGGAATATCTCACATATAAAATGCACTTGCTTTCGGGAAGTGAGACGTTCACTTGAATATTGATCTCATCACGATGATGTCCTACAGATGTGAATGCAATAGGTTTGGCATATAAAGTGCCAGCTCATCCAGAATGCAGCAGCTCAACTGGTCTTCAACTGACCTAAGTTCACTCACACCACATCGCTCCTCTGCTCCCTTCACTGGTTACCAGTGGCTGGCCGCAGCTGCTTCAAGACACTAGTACTTGTGTACCGTGCTGTGAACAGATCAGTCCCAGTCTATATCCAGAACATGAGTTAAACTGTACACCCCAGCAGGTCCTACTCCGCTCTGCATCGACCAATCGGCGTGCCGTTCCCTCACTCCGAGGGACAGCTAGCCACACAACAAAATCCAGACTATTTGCTGTCCTGGCTCCTAAATGGTGGAACGAGCTCCCCATTGACATCAGGACAGCAGAAAGTCTAAAAGACACATCTCTTCCGACTACACCTTGGTGAAGAAGACGTCTAATAACCATTGTCAACTGTGTGTTTATATAAAGAAAAACAAATTATAAGAAGAAAAACCAATTACATTTAGTTGCACTTATATATTGCACTTACATGTAGCACTTTGTAGTTTGGCTTTTTTGAAGACTCATTGTACTTACATGATTCTTGCTGTTGTTTAATTGCTGTCACTTAATGAAATATAATGTAATAAATGTATTTTCAACCCAACTTGTGCACATTTCTGCCAAAAAAGTGTGGAATGTCTTTGTTGTTCGGTCAGTGTGTGTGTGTGTGTGTGTGTGTCCTCACATTGCTCTTCAGACAGGGTCCTCTCTACAGGCAGGTGTTTCCCGGCTGACTGAATCTTGTCAGGAGCCATTTCCCCAATCTGTCAACAGAACATTTATGTGACGCACCAGAAAAAAAAAAACATTATTCCCCATGAAACAGACTCAATCTGTTTCTTTTCTATTTTCTTCCATCTAAAATATTGTAAATAATAAATATCATCTGTTCCTCAGTCTATGAATTTGTTTCTGGCCCTCTGTGGTGTCAGTTATGACTCCTTCCTTGCACTGACCTCCAGTTCCGTGTCGTCCAGGCTGTGAGTGTGGGTAGAGTGGAGCTCAGGGTTGTTGGCCATGTCCAGAAGCTCAATCACAAGGTTGCGGGTTAGTAGCTGTGTCACAAATGGATGCTGGAGGAAAAAAAGAATAGATCACAGCCTTAGACACTATTAGGAAGCTTTGATCTCAGAGAGCCGTGTAAAATGGCACTGAAAAACAGTCAAATATAATAATATAATATATATAGATATAATATGATATAATAAATAAAGCTATAATTAGTGGTCAGTCTTTGCACGTATATTAGACTTAGCTGGTTCCAGACCTTTCCCAAGATATCTCCAAGAATCCACCATGAAGTAAGAAAAACAACCAATGATCATATGGCCGTTAATGATGTCATCATCTTATTCTATTGTATTTTTATTGTATCCAAATCCCGGACTGCTATGACGACCTAATTTCCCTTTGGGGATGAATAAAGTAATCTATCTATCTATCTATGACGTCATGTAAGTGTGATAATGCAGTCAACCACTAAGATAATAGACACGATCTACAGCTTGTTTAGATTAATCAATCACCGTCATCATTATGAAATCGCATTATAACAATATATAAAAGTTAGGATTGTCTGATTGTAAAGAGCAGGGTATTCATCACCTCTCTGATGCTTTTCTCTTTCAATATTATTATCATGCATCTATCTGTCCACCATTGTTACGCCCGAACACATGACATCTGCTCTGAGTGAGTCAGCTGTTCATGTTGGAATGCTGTATTCCAGTTTCTCTACGAACCAGTAAGAATTTAGTGAGCTGTATAACCATGAGGTAAAGCAGAACCATAACAAAAAAAATGCATTTAAGAACTTATTTGAAAGCGCCTTGAAGATAATGGCGAGTTAACCACTTTCCATTAATAAGAACCACAAAGAAGAAGCCAACCTGCAGCAGCGTCTCAGCTGAGGGCCTTTTACGAGGATTTTTAATGAGAGCCATTTTCACAAAGCTTTGGAAACCCGCAGACCTGCACAGAGGAGAAGCAAAGGGGCACAGTGTGAATCAATTTTTACATGTTAATGATCTTCTCTTTGGTTTCAATACTAAATGATTTCAGAGGAACACCGGCAGTCCAACTCACCACTTGGATTTATCCTTTAGTCTTGGAGGCTGGAAGTTGCTCTTGGACATCAACATCAGTGCTCTGAAACATTGTTTTAAATGTCACCGCACTGTATAAGGTCTCAATGGTTTATAGGCAGTGACTGTCCAGGAATGAAATGTTACATAACACACGCCTCTACTGTTTATCTCTCTGCTCTGACACGAGGCAGAGTTCATTAGATCCGTCTGGGCTCCAGTCCCTCTGTCCTGACTCACCGCATTGGGTGAAGGTCAAACATGGGCGGTTGGAGCTCGGCCAGCTCGATGGCAGTGATTCCGACGGCCCAGATATCGCACAGGTGGTTGTAGCCCCCCTTCTTTTCCACCGCAGCCACCTCTGGAGCCATCCTGGACAGACGATTCGCAGGGAAGAGGAGACATAAGAGGAAGGGGACATTGGATATGATTTACATGGCCACTGTGGTAAACTTCCAATATAATGTTGTTTATTCTATAATATCATTTCAATGTGTTCAACTGGCTTTAGGAGGAAAAAACACTTTTTGGGGACTACTTTCAGTAAAGGATTAATCTACACTCTAGGAGCAAGACGTTTAGACGATTGAGTCTAAATAAATGACTGTGTGTTTGTGTGTGTATGCACGTGTGTGTGAGTCATTCATATTGACAGATCCACACAATTTAAAGTTTAGAATCTTGAGTTTCCATTTAATCATGTCTTCAAACTGGGGGATTATAATATTCATAACGTCCAGAGGAAACAAACATAGGCACGAGGAGAACATGCAAACTCCACACTGTGCAGCCAGCTTGAACCCAGAACCTTCTTGCTGTGAGGCCACAGGGCAAAATACTGCAGCAACTTGTCACTGTATTATAGAAATGTTATGTTTGTATATGTTTATATATTTAAAACACTTATACAGTGGGTCCAGCCCCCGGTGACTGTCAAAGGTTAAGCAATATAGAATGGATGGATACATAACAATTCCAACACCAGTATGGATCTAAATTTAAAAAAACGTCACCCATAGGTGTCACGTATTTCCACAGTGCACAAGTTAGATGCTGTACATAGCCCAAGCATTTTTCTGTTCGTATATATTTATATATTTATATACTATTCATTATCATCTATAAAAGATCACGCATTTTTATATGACAACCTTCATTTATAACGTAACCGAGCACTCTGTAAAACATTTATACACATCTGACATTTTTACATTTTTTACAAGAGTTAAGAACATTTTATTTGTGGATTGACCTCGTGCAATAGAAGATGCAGCTGCACGTATAAGGTGGCCCGGGTTAGATTCAAGATTCAACTGTGACGCGAAACAAACAATATGAGGTCTGACTAATGGGTTTTATTCTATTGAGTGATTGAATTAAAGTGTCTGACACAACCTTTGCTTTTTTGTCGCTGAGAGAGAGAGAGAGAGAGAGAGAGAGCGAGAGCATGTGTGTGACGCAGGAGGGGGAGCGGTGCACGGTGGACCAAGTCACTGTGAGTACATACATTCAGTACATATTGTATCACAATTTAACATTGTCATTGCTTATGTGTGCAATGATTTTGACAGGGACAACTCTCTGGATGGGGGGTGGGTCCAGACCCTGTTCCCCCCCCGGGAAATCCACCCCTGTCTATAACTGTTTCCCATCTGTTCGTACAGTTCTTATACCACAACATGGTTTTTAACCAATGAATCTTATCCTTATTACATATAGCAGTGAGTACAGAAACAGAATGTGTTGCTATACTGCATGTCTGCATATGCTGCATACAACTTGAAGATGACCTGTTGATCTGCACCTGAGTGGTGAATTCTGTGTACTTTGTACATTTGGCCATAGATATTGTCAGATATAATAAAAAAAGGATATTGGCAAAAAAAAAAAAAACCGGTCAGCTGCATCCCTCACTCAAATCATACCGTCTCGGTCACTGGGTCACTGCTACTGTAAAAGGACAGAGGTCAGCTGCGTTCATCTTACCAGTAGGGCGTTCCTATAAAAGACTTCCTTTTGGCCACCGAGGCGCTGATCTCTGCAGCCACTCCAAAATCAGCTGGACACAGAAGAGACAGACATTGTTACACCGATGGCCTGTTTACGCCCACTTGATGAGTCGCAGCAGTTAAGTAGGGGCTGCAGATGTGTGCCGGATGCAATTCAACACTGACCCAGTTTCACGTCTCCTCTCTCTGTCAGGAGGATGTTGGCTCCCTGCAGAGAGAACACCAATCGTAAAGTGAGCATCTGTTCACATGACAACCAACAGTGTAATATTTTATGACCGCAATTATAAAGTAACACCTGGATGGTGATTTAAAAAAAATGCTTTACCTTTATGTCTCTATGCATTTTGCCAGTTTCATGCAGGTGATACAAGCCCTGGAAAATAGTACAAAAGTAGCATAAATATAAATACATATTGTACTATAAGGTGTTCTAAAGCTGTCCACCATTATGGCCAGAGTGACCAGTTTTCTGTGGTAAAAAAACAAGGTTCTGATGTCCTGATGTCCTGTGTCAGGGTTTCTCAGGTAGATTGATTAATATGATTGACTTGTTATTAACAATATGCCCCACAGGCGACAATATTCAAATTCGATGAAAAGTCTAAGGTCTTAAAATGAGACCATCTATAGATGCACGCAATAATTAAATAAATGGTGTGTTTTTGTATGTATAAGTTTAACTTTATTGAATAAAATCCCTTTTGAGTTATATGATTTACTCTCACTACCTACACACTTTAATTTAATTAATTTGTAATCCAAAACATAACATTTTGAACATTTAACATTTTTTACATTATCTATCAAGTGAAATACCTGAATAAAGAACTGCATTAGCTTCGTCAGAGTGATGAAAAAGATCCATTATTAGAAGAAGTGATTTACAACACCGAGTCACAGAACAGCATGATGACAGTAATGTGGCTAAGCTACGAGAATTATATTGAAAACCAGGTAAATCATTTGATTTTATTTATCTTAA